GATGGATGAATGTATGATGGATGGATGGATGGATGAATGTATGATGGATGGATGGATGGATGGATGGATGAATGTATGATGGATGGATGGATGGACAATTGGATGGATGGTTGGATGAATGGATGAATGTATGGATGTAATCGATGGATGGATGAATGTATGATGGATGGATGAATGTATGATGAATGGATGGATGAATGAATGGATGAATGTATGATGGATGGTTGGATGGATGGATGAATGGATGATGGATGAATGTATGATGGATGGTTGGATGGATGGATGAATGTATGATGGATGGATGGATGGATGGATGATGGATGGATGGATGAATGTATGATGGATGGATGGATGGATGGATGTAATCGATGGATGGATGAATGTATGATGGATGGATGAATGTATGATGAATGGATGGATGGATGAATGGATGAATGGATGATGGATGAATGTATGATGGATGGTTGGATGGATGGATGGATGGATGATGGATGGATGGATGAATGATGGATGGATGAAGGATGAATGATGGATGGATGAAGGATGAATGAATGGTGGATGGATTGATAAATATAAACAAAACCTGAAGCCAAAAAAACAAAACAAACTAACATTTAAAAGTAAACCAAAAAAAACACAAACCAAAGCAGTAAAAAAACAAAATAAATTTCTCTCTTCTTTTTTTTACTTTCTTGAGGGTAAATTCACATCAACTCCAACTATGTCTGATTCAAAGCCACCTTTTCCTGTAGCTTTCTGCACCTAGACATAACGTTCCGTCAGAAAGCTCTAACTAACAGACGGAAAGTAAAATCATTCATCTGAGATCAAGTCCTCTTGAGTCATCCTGCTGTGACCTCAGAGTGGCGCTGGGCTTCCTGCTTCATGCTGTACATAAGGAGCTGATCCACAGTGCAGCCGTCTGACCTGACACAGAGGCCGTGAAAATGAAACCTTTCCTTCCAGTTCTGCTGCTAACATTGCTCTGCAAACTTCCACCAGGATTTCCTTCTGAGGACAACTCGACTTTTAACTGTGAGTAAAGATCTGTTTTAATTTGTTTAAACATCAGACATAGAAATAATGATTGATTAGAATCACCGACAAGAGAAGGCAAGGTAAGTTAATGTCTACAGCATATTTCAATGGGACAACATTTTAAAGAAAAGGAAAAGTACACTACAGTGACAAATGATTCAAAATAGTACAAGGGATTCCTAAAAATATGGTGATGTTAATAAAGTTAGAATGATTAATAAAAAAAAATAAAATAGAAAAGCACATCCTTTCCCCCCCAACGTGCAGTGACTGAAGGAACTAAGATGGATCCTTGAGTAATACCACATTTGATTTTTGTTGTGTCAGATGTGAGGCCACTGGACTTTCTTTCCAAGTTTGAAGACTTTTTGTTTGCCATGTTTTTCAACTTAAAAGGTCAGAAGTAGTGTTGATTTCAAGGCTTTATATAGTAGCCCAACAAAGCCTTGTTTTTGTTTAGAAAACATGCAAATTGACACAGATGAACAGGTTTACGCCTTTGGAATGGGCTGTCGTTTGGGTTCTTTGTTAGCCTGCAATACTCAATACCTGTCTATGTCTCTGAAAGTGGGGTCGTTGTTGGCCTGACTGAACAGGCGAGTTGTTCTGTTCACCTGTATGGGGGTGGGGGTTGCGATGATAGCGGGAAGGAATCAACTCTATCGCTGAAATGTAGTTTTTTGAAAGCTGTAAGGTTATTTACTGAGACCAAAACTTCTATGACCTTCAAGTAGGATTTAAATCAGTCCACTGCTGGACCAGAAAGGCCAACCCAAAATACATAAGTTTTCTGATAAAATAGGACAACCAACAATGTTGAATGCTGCACTAAGGTCCAGTAATACCAGCATTTTTCCAAGGTATTCATTTATACATATATCATTGAAAACCTTAATTAGGACAGTCTCTGTACTGTGGTGAGTATGGAGACCTGACTAGAAGATATCCTAGCTACAGGTTATGGCTAGGAAGGTGTTTAGCTGTTGTAGCAGAGTGTTTCCTTAGCGTTTTTTTTTA